CTAATATTCATCACATATTAGAATCTTCAATTATCCGTTGTTTGCAATCTTTTTATATAATTTTAATTAGTTAAAAGTAGCCAGGAAAAATAATCACAATCATCATAAATATTTTACCTGCTTTTGTCAAATAAGAGTTAAAAAAATTAGATTAAGTCTTAAATTATAATCTTCATGGGAACGATAGCCGGACTCAAAGGTCCACCATAGTGTTTGTTACGATATCGTACACTTGCGATATAAAAAAAATGCAACACGGCTACTCAAGCCAACTATCTCTAGCATTCGTAATCCTTGTTCGAAGATCTTGCAGTATGATTTGATTAGTTAATTCAGCGAGGCCATTACTCTGGGTGTGAGACTGAGGTCAGGCGATGGTCAATCCCGAGGTTGGCACAAAACTTTCTGAAGTGCGAATTATCAAATTGTCTTCCATTGTCTGTTATGGTACCTTCGGTATCCCAAATCTACATACAATGAACTTTCATATGAATGACCTGAGCTTTGGCTTCGAGATTATCGTTAGGGGTTTGGCTTACCTACTTAGTAAATTATCCTACTGCCACCGCAATAAATTTTAGTTGACTTCTTGACAAAGAAAAAGGTCTTAGAATGTCAATTCCCTATTGCTCGAAGGGAGCCAAAGAGTGGACGACGGTTAGCTCTTCGGCGGGAGTATGTATGCTATTGTCGAATCTCTGGCATTTGCCACACCTTCTTATGTAATCCTATGCATCTTTCTTCATACTGGGTCAATAATACAAATATCTTATAAGCTTGTAGGCAAGAGCTAGAGCTCCTATTTTATATATATATATATATATATATACACATACACACACACACACACACACACACAAAGGACAAAAGAAATTAAAGCAGGGGGCATTGGGAATTCTTGGGAGGAAAGAAAAAGAAGTATACATACACACACAGGACAACACGTAAGAAAAGAAAAGGTTGCCAGAAAAAAGAGAGAGAAAAGAAAAAGTCAACAGAGAAGAAAACGGCGCAAAGAGAAAAGAGAAAGAAAGAAAAGAAGGAAAAAAATAAAAGAAAATGAAAGGAGACTGCAAATATCAGAAATTGACGTTTAATATATGAGTTTTTCCCAAAAAAGATGATTTATCGTTTATACTAATTGCTTCTGGTCTAAAAGAAAAAGGTTGGGGACTTCGAAAAGAAGATTGGGATGAATACTTAAATATGCCCATAAATTGTGTATGACATATCTGTTTGGACTTGGCACCAATTAGTTGGATATGACTCACGACAGTGAAAGGTAAAGACAACTGAAAAATTTGAGGGTTGCTACTTGAACTGCTCTGTTCAAACAAATTATTTTCCCCAAGTGCTTGGTTAACCGTATTTTTTCTTTGATTTCTTGTGGAAAATTGCAGCAGAGTTTCGTAATTTAATATTATGCAGTAAGTTGGTTTGTAACTTGTAAAGCAATAAAATTTTGATCTTCAATGTTTCAGTGTTGTTGCAGAGGGAGTCCTACATAATGGAAATAGTTCATTTAACCGTTAAAAAGTAAAGTTTTTTTTTTAAAAAACAAAGAAGAAGGTCCGCGCCCACCCCCCCAACACAAACTTCTTTTTAAATGAACCCTGGTTGGAAACTTCCCTTATAAACATAGGATGATCGTTGGCTTTATTCTTTCTATTCCACGAAATTTTTTCCTCCTTTTTTTCTTCTCTTATAAAAAACATGCACCTTGTCCAAGAGTTGGTTTACCTTAGTATAGTAAAAGTTGTGTGTTGGCTTTTCACTATCAACAACTTAATCTGTTTGGGATAGATAGTTTAACACACTCGTTTTTCCATGTTCTTGCTGATACGTGTCTACAATCCATAGCGCAAACATTCCAATTCTTGTTCAGGTACCCAAAATATGAAAATATTATATACATTCACAGTCCAAAACATAAAACTCTCATATGATTAATAAGGAAAAGGAAAGTAAAAAAAGAAAGCACCAATAGTAACTTCGACGTCATTAATCTTCTTTATGATGCTGCATTTATACCGTAACTTCATAATTATCGCCCTCCAGATAGTAATGACTCTGCAACTGAGGAACGGTTGCCCTCTGAATTATTAAAATTATCGAAGCCTTCAGCATGTGCAAATGTTAGGCCAGCTGAAGAAATGCAAAGAGAAGATATATCCGGCAGCGCTGCAGCGCCTTCTAAGTAGAGCAGTATCTGCCGCATATTTGGCCTAGCAACAGACTCAGCATGAGAGCATAGTAACCCAAGTTTTAAAACCAGTTCCACCTCCTCTTTCACATAATCGTAACCCAATTTCGGATCAATGGCCTGTAAAATTACACCTCTAGTCCAGTGGGAAAACACCCAGTCCACCAAAACCATGTCTTCTGTTGGTGCTTGTGGCTCTATCGGCCTTCTACCACAGCCAACCTCAAGTAGAAAGGCACCGAAGGCATATACATCAGTGCTTGTTGTGGCCTTGCCACTTCTTGTGTGCTCTGGGTCAAGGTACCCTAGAGTTCCAAGAACATGAGTAGTTCGAGGGTCACTTCCATGATCATGCAGTCTTGCAAGGCCAAAGTCCCCTAATCTTCCATTTAATTCACCATCGAGTAATACATTACTAGCCTTAACATCCCTATGAACCACTACTTGTTCCCATTCTTCGTGTAGGTATAGAAGGCCAGATGCCACACCTTTGATGACTCGAAATCTTTGGTCCCAATTGAGGGAGATATTTGGTTGGTCATAGAGAAACTTGTCTAGACTTCCATTTGGCATGTATTCATATACCAATAGCAACTGACCTTTACGTCTGCAATAACCCAAAAGTGGCACCAAATTTCGGTGGCGTAGCCTACCAAGGCTGGCAATTTCTGCCACAAATTCCCTCATTCCTTGTCTTGATTCATGTGACACTCTCTTGACAGCAACTTGAATTTTTGAGGTAGGCAATAAACCTCTGTACACCCTACCAAACCCTCCGGTCCCTAATAGCTCCTTGTCTCGAAACCCTTTGGTGGCTTTGTATAAATCTTTATACTTGAAGCGGTGAGGTCCATATTCAAGTTCCCAGTCTTCTAGCTCTTCTGCGTACTTTTTCTTTATCCTTTTCATGTAATAAAAAACGGCCAAGATTGCTGTCAACAATATAACTGATGAAATGGTAGGCAAGCCAATTGTCATAAATTTAGATTTCTCATTGGGTAGCTTGGGAAGTTGAGATATATCAAGCCCTTCAGCTATGCCGTTTATCCTGAAGCTCCATCCCATAACATAATGGGATGTCGTTGGTATAGGACCAGTAGCTGACGTAAAGCCAACGTACATGGTTTGTTTTAGGATAGGTGAAAGATCATATGACAGGGAAAGAAGAGGAGTATTTGGT